GTTTCAGAATGGAGCATTGTAGCCTCGCGAATAGCTTAATCGCATCATCCTCAAATCCATTAGTAGCTAAGCCCAAAATCATAGAGTTCCAAGAAGACAACCCTTTATTTGAGATGCTTATAAAAACATGCCACGCCATTTCAACGTTTCCACACTTGCAATACATGTCTATTATTGCAGTAACAACAATGACATTCAACTCCACATTGTTCTTCTTAACATACTTATAAATCCAATTCCCTTGTTCAAGTGCTCCCAAGTGTCCACAAGCATTCAACAAGCTCACCAAAGTGAATTCACTAGGCTTAATATTTTCCTCTTGCATTGTGCTAAATAGTTCCAATGCTTCATTCCACTTCCCATTTCTAACAAAACCACTTATCATACTGTTCCAAGAAACATCATTTCTAGTTGACATTTTACTAAACAACCTCCAAGAATCATCGATTTCTCCCGATTTAGCTAAGCCCATGATCATGGAATTCCAAGAAACAACATCCTCAATCTCATCCTCATCAAACAATTTCCTTGCTTCAACCAAAAAACCACAACTTGCATACATATACAACATAGTATTTCTTATGAATGTGTCAAATTCTAGGCCTAGTTTGATGATTCTCCCATGAAGTTGAGCTCCATTTTTCACAAGACCACCTCTAGCATACGCCTTAAAAACTGAAGGATAAGTAAGCAAGTGTGGTTGTACTTGTGAATTGTTCAACATTTCAATGAAGAGATGAATTGCATATTGTGGAGTTGAACTCTCTGAGAAACCTCTAATGATAGTATTCCAAGTGAAAAGATTTGGATTTTCTATGTGAGTGAAAACCAAGTTTGCATAATTGATGTCACCAATGGGTGGAGACTTGGCTGAAAACGCAAGAACGCGGCTAGATGCTATTTTATCCTTAATTAGACCACTTTTTATGAGATGAGCATGAATCTTTTTGAGGTCTGTCATAGTGGTACATTTGGTTTCTAACATATGAAGATATGGTTGATCTGAGATGAACTTAGAAATGGAAGTTGATGAGCAAACACTTGATGACATCTCTGTTTTATCAAGAATGTGTAGAAAGAGAGCAATTTGTTAAGTATGAATAGCAGCTCTCAACTGGCATAATAGATAAGGTATGTAGGGTCTATTTAGCACTAGGCTGACTTAAGATCATTCACACCAAAACTAAGCTCATGCCCCATATCAACAAATTAATTACATATTCATATCCTTTTACCTTGATGTCGCTTCAATAATTACCTAAAATAGCTATTTTTTCTTTTTTGTGTTTTGTCTTTTTGTTTTATTTTGGGAAAGGTTCATCTTTCTTTTCACGTGAAGAAATATTTTCTTCCTTTTTACCTTTATATTTTTTTTTAAAAATAAATATAGTAGTTAGCTTTTTTTAGACTAATAAAAATGTAGGAAAATTAAATACTTAATTAGATTACAACAAGAAATAATTTAAAAAATTACTAAAATAACTAGCTTATTTATTAAAATCAAAATTAGTAAAAAATATATTATATACTCCTTTTTTTTTCTCATTTATTTATTTATTTTTCTCTTTTTTTCCCTTCAAATTTCCCCATTTTCTCCTATATTTGTTCCTTTTATTTTTGCATTTTTATTTTATTTTTGAATTTCTTTATTTCTTGTTCCTCTCCTTTTCTTTTTTTCGATTATTTTTTATTCTTTTTTTTTTCTTTTTCATTCATTTTTTTCAAATCATAATATTCTTTATTGTTGCACCACAATTTAATTTTATATATATTGTTATGGTATCATTGTTGTTGCTTCAATCCTTCCATGAGACCTCCATGATACCATCACAATATATTTATATATTATCATGGTATCATTGGAATTTTCTTCGATCCGCAATGATACCACCATAATAAATCTACATATTGTCTTGATATCATTGGTGTCTAATTTAATTCTTCAGCGACACCTCCATGATACCACCCAATATATATAGGCTTAGCAATAAGTGTTAATCATAGTTTCTAGGTTGATTATTTTATTCATCGACTGGACTTTAAGTATTCTCCCAGATTCTTTCACATATTTGGAAATTAATTTTTTGACCATATGCTCCTCCTTTATTTTTATTTTTTTATAGTTTTAGTGTTTTGGTAGTACTCAACAAAACCCCAATTCTTTTTTCGTATGATAATATATACTCAATGTAATCTCAGTTTTTGGGAGTGTGGTGTACGTGAACACAGTCTTGGATTCCTTGTCAGGACTCGAAAACTCGAGTCAAGATGACACATATTATAATTCACCGGTAGGTAATTCAATTGGTAACCTAGAACAACAAGTAACAGGCATATAAGGTAGAAACAAACAATTAATAATAGATGCATGATATCATTCAAGGAGACGGCGGAAAATAAGAACAGAAGCCAATACATACAACCAAAAGAGATCCAACACAAAACCTATTAGTCACATGTAAAAAGCTACTACAATAGAGTACAAATTCCAAAGGTAGACAAAAAATATACAGACTTGTCTCAAATGCTAAAAACTAGCCAACAACTATCACAAAAAGAGGCAAACAGATCCAAGACGTCAAAAGCTCACCCTTGCCTCTGAATACCTCAACAATTGGCTCACTATCAACGCGGATGACTGGTGCTCGAATCTGCATCACGAAAACAGATGCAAAATGTAGTTTGAGTATCAAAACAACATGTACTCAGTAGGCATCATAGATCAACTTCTCAGCTAGAAAAGTAAAGACTATGAAACGCAAGAAATAACACTAGCAAAGGTCAATTCAATGAAATGATAACGAAAATCTAACATGAATGCACAAGAGTCTAAGAATGAATGGAAGTGAAAAGCAAGTAACTAACTAAACGTAACTAGACTCCATAAGTCCAGAAAGTACACTTTTGTGCAAGTTTAAGTATATTATCACCTGAACAGATCCCTATAAGCCTAACGAGTACACAGAAGAGCTATAACTACTGAGTATGAAATTCTATGAATCATGAACAGGAGAGTGCATAGTCCAAACGTCGAATCGCGGATAGAACATCCAATGATTCCAATAGAACCATGCAGCTAGGTATCAACTCAATAGAGAATAATGTGCCCAAAACTTGAATTGCAACTGAAGGTCATGTGCCCAGATCTTGAATTTATGTCTAAAATGGTGGTCTGCCCAAACCTTAAATTTATGGCTATACGAACTGTCGAAGAAGAGTCTCATGTCAAGTCACCAACATAAGACCACCAGAGATTGACGTCCACCCCAAAGTTTCCAACAAACCACTCCAAGCCCGAATCAAATCCAACCCCAAATCATCAAGCAAAGCCCAAAGTCACAACATAATCATTGGGGTCGTAGTAAAAAGGGAATTATGAATAAAAGGTTATCGCAACTATGTTATCGCCTAGATAAGGCTCACATTATCAAATCCAAGTCTGCTACATTAGTCTACAGGAAGCTAAGCCATCCAAAGCGACGTCAAAGAATTCTAAGGCCTATCATCTCCAAAACGCTAAGGCACTAGCCTACACCAGGCTAAGGCCAATAATAAGCTACCAAGTACCAATGATCACAAAACAACTACGGACAATAACCACAAGGTAAGAGATGATCACACAACAAGAATAACATGCTAGCACTCTCGAAATACTCCAAAAATAAGGTCTGAGCCATGAGTTTTAATAAGTAAACATGAATCGACTACCAACCCATCCCAATTTTCTATCTAACCAAAATGAATTTACATTCTCGAGCTCAATCTAAAAACCAGAAAGGTGTAGCCTATCACAATGAAGACCACACACGTTCCAAAATCATAATTTCAAGTTTTTCTCTTTCGAATGGTCTCTAAACGCCGTCATGCTATCAAAAACATAATCACAACATCAAAACACATTTTTTGACACCAAAAACACTACAATTGGCAACCGACAGTATTAAAGAACTTATCATTTGTCTTTAGCGATGTGGTCGGTGGCACCTTAGTCTACATATCATTAATGCAATACTATATACATAAGCAAAATGAGGGGTTACAATGCATGATGTTACCTTATTCTACTCCAGGAAATTCTGCGTCAAATGACCCATCTTGTGGCAAGAATAACAATCCTTTTTGGCCATATCAATCTTTTTAACACCGGATTTTCCTCTCTTCTTAAATTGAAATTTACCCTTTTTATTTGACTTATCAAATCCCGTGTTCTTCTATACTTCCTTGTTCTTGCTATTGTTATTTTTCTTAGTATTAGAAGTCTCAGCAAATTCAGTTAGAAAAGCTTGCTCAATTGTTTTAGAATTGTCACGACGCTCATCTTCAGAACAAGATGGTGTCCAATGTCTTTAAAAACTTGGTACTTTCATTATGGTTGTATGAATTTTCATATATTTCCAACTAGCAAGAAGAGATCTTATAACTTTCTGGTAACCTTTTGTTTGCATCAATTCTAACTTTCGCCACTTCTAGCAGATTATAAACATATGTCACCCTCATCATTGGTAATACTTAATCCCTTTCTACTTAAAGCTTTTCTTATTTTCAGAATTCAAAACTTTAAACACAACAAGATAATCTACTTGTCTCTCTTTTCTCACTTGTACTGACCATTATTAGTCACTACTATGAGTTTGATTCCTTGGTGCAACAAACATCCATTATAGCAAGCACTCTATGATTTCTAATATGCTTCCTCAATTTATGTGTACCTTTGCTGAATTGAATTGTTGATTAATTAGCCTAAACTCTTTGAATCTCTTGATATTCCTATTGCTTTGCATTTTCGATTTTAAGTTACTTCCATAGAGTAAGTGCCCATCAGATCATTTATACAACAAATATTGTAGGCATTGCTTGAAGACTATTACTCTTGAATTTTGCATGTATTAGAAATTAGTGTAGTCAGAGAATGAATAACTATTTGGATAAATAAAGTTACAATGATATTTGCTTTCCAAGACTTTCTTTGCATTCTCTTAGCGATCGTAGTCTTAAAGGCTTACTTGAGCTTACAAGATCTTAAAAAGAGTAGTGAGTAAGTTGTCAATTGCCACACGGAATGTTAGTAAGACTCTAAGTCCGTGACAAGTACGGCCAAAAAATCAAACCAAAAGATATTTGCTTACTGTATTGAAAAAGAAATCTTTCCATTCAATGGTGAAAATCTTTAAAAGTCACATTTCTAGTTTTCTATATTGTTGTTATATGAATTGGTATGCAAAGAAATCACTGGCACAGATGAATTTAGAAGAAAGAAGTTTCTCATCAAAAGATTTTGTAAGCAAACTATCTATATTTCCAATCAAGGAAATGATAAGGAACATATCAACATCAAAAAGATTATAAGTCTCTTTGTATGGTTAAGCCTACTGTTCGTGACGGAAGAATGGAACATTACATTAGATATTAATTCAAGATTTGAAGTTTATGAGTTCTATACGCAAATGTACGAGCTGTAGTGTTGGGATTTTCTAAAGCTCCTATGTATAAAATTGTCACTGCAGTTGGCATTTGATGGTAGCTTAATTGTATTTGGTTCATTTATACCGTCTGATGTTGAATCTGATGCAGTACAGTGGTCCATTAAATCTGTGAGCATAGTAAACTACACTGCACTAGGAAACATTCCACTACAAGTGTAATTTGAGAACATCAAGGACACATGCCTGGTGCGAATCATTATTTTGAGGAGTTTCTAAGCTAATGGAGCTAGTGACAATATGTTTTGCAAATTCATTGATAAATATTAATCACCTAAACCTGAAAATGAACAAGCTTATAACAAATCAATTACATAAAATATTGAGGAATTTTATGATAAATATGAGTTAAATCTATAATAGATACCGAACATTTGATAAGACAAAAAAAAGGAGGATACGCAAATACACATAAATATTTTACAAAGAAAATGGAAAAACGTAAATATGACAAAGTGAAATAAAAGGGTGAAAAATTACTAACTCTTAGGTCCACCAAGTTCATAGATAGCAACAAATCTTGTCTGCAACTCATCACTCTAACGCATGTGAAATGGTTGGTCTGGCAAAGTTGATGCAACAACATTAAGTTGTTGGTCAACTTTTTGTCTGAGTTGAAAAATCACAAGATCAAAATTAAAAATATAAGGATCATAACATTTAATATCATTATACACCGATCAAGAATTGTTATTCTTGGCAACATGGGAATGGGGACGGGGAAACATTGTTGCAAAGCTAGAGGAAAAAAAATTAAGAAAGTAAAGAATACTCAACACTCTATAAATATGGGGTACTTTGGAAAAACCTCTTGACCTGGTTTTATAGGTGAATTTCCACTAAAGAGAGAGCTTTCTTTAGTGGAAATTCACCTATAAAAATAGGTCAAGAAGTTTCTCCAAAGTACCACATATTCATAGAGTGTTGAGTATTCTTTACATTCTTAATTCTCTTTCGTCTAACTTTGGGAGAATGTTTTTCCGTCCCCATTCCCCTGTTGTCAAGTATGGCAATTCTCGATTGGTGTTTAATAATAATGATATCAAATATTATGATTCGTATATTTTCAATTTTAATCTTATGACTCATCAACTCAGACAAAAAATTGACCAACAACGTACCTAAAGTTGTTGCATCGATTGTACAAGACAAACCATCTGGCATACATTGGACTAATGAGTTCCAGGCAAGATGTGTTGCTATTGTTGATGAATTTGGTGGGTCTAGGGGTTAGTAATTTTTTACCCTTTTATATCATTTTTCTATATATGTTTTTCTTCGTTTTTTACTTTTCTTTGTAAATTATATATGTGTGTGTTTGTGTATCCCCTTTTTTGTCATATCAGATGTTCGATATCTGTTTTAGATTTAACTCATATTTATACATATATATCATACAATTTCTCAATGTTTTATGTAATTAACATGTTATAAAAGGTTATTTACTTTCAGTTTTAGGTGATTATTATCACTTAATATGATTAATAACAAATAATTAAATTGCAGTTAAATGATAAATCATATATTGTCAATGAATAAAATATAAACTCTTGTTTATTTCATTACATTTTTATTATACAAACAATAGAAATCATATTTTTACTGGGTGCTAGTTCTAAGCAATAATTTCATGACATGACACTCCTACAATTTATCGAGGACATAACCGTAGATAGGAGGATATGGAAGTTGTGGATTATGATAGGCGATTAGTAGGTAGTTGAGCTGAGCATGGTCTAATTTCTTGTATCAGTATTGTTAATACTATTCTCCAACTATCTCATTCTTTGATTTTATTACTTCATGTTGCTTTCATTGATTTAGTATTCATTTAGTTCCATTGTAAGAGAAATTGATGAAGTTATGTAACAAGTGCTATTAACTGCAATAACATCCATCCAGACTATATAGCTGCAGTAAGTTACCTGAGGAAGAGAATAGAGCCTCCAAATGTAGTAAGTACTTTTCTTTGACCCAAGCTCAAAGAAGAAATTGAAGAGAGGATCCATTATGGCTCGTTCAAAAGCACAACCTCCGTCGAGAACATACAGAGCCATTGTATCAATAACATCTTTAGGTGGAACAACCATAGAATCTGCAAAATCAAAAATATCATTCTTGTCATAGAAATGATGTGTTCAAAGGAAAATTTTGCCCAGTTCGCCATAGCTTTGGACGAAGAGAACTACGGCCGAAAAATCAAACCAAAAGATATTTGTTTACTGTATTGAAAAAGAAAGATATCCATTCAATGATGAAAATCTTTCAAGTCACATTTCTAGTTTCTTATATTGTTGTTGTAAGAATTGGTATGCAAAGAAATCACTGGCACAGATGTATTTAGAAGAAGGAAGTTTCTCATCAAAAGATTTTGTAAGCAAACATCTATATTTCCAATCAAAGAAATGGTAAGGAACATATCAACATCAAAAGGATTATAAGCCCTTCTGTATGGTTAAGCCTATTATTTGTGACTGAAGAATGGAACATTACATTCGATATTGATTAAAGATTTGAAGTTTTTGAGTTGTAAACAAACTCATATGCAACACCAAAGTTCTATACGCAAATGTAAGAGCTGAAGTGTTGGGATTTTCTAAAGCTCCTATGTATAAAATTGTCACTGCAGATGGCATTTGATGGGAAATTAGCTTAATTGTATCACCACCACAGCAAAATTCAGCTGATTCGTGTTCAAACTATTTTGCCGAGTAAAATTCACTGTTACGAATCTTTTTTAATGCAATATAAAGAGATTCTAATCGTAATATTTTAGCCATATTTGGTTGTATTATTTACATTACGTGCAGATGTCAAACAATCTTAACAGATGAAAAACGAAAGAAAAAAGGAACGATGCAAGCGCAGTTTTATGTTCGAACTAACCGGCATGCAAAACCTTTTTAATGCTGAGAGTATCTGGTTCATCTGAACTGTCTGATGTTGAACCCAATGTAGTACAGTGGTGAACTAAGTCTGTGAGCATAGTAAACATAAAGCTTCCACGTTTTTGATATGGTCCGGGCAGTAAACTACACTGCACTGGGAAACATTCCACTACAAGTGTAATTTAAGAACATCAAGGACACATCCCTGGTGCGAATCATTCTTTTGAGGAGTTTCTAGCTAATGGAGCAAGCGACAATATGTCGCAAATTCATTAAATCATGATAAGAGACATTAATTTCCTGAGAACAATAAAACCTAAGATGAGTATAAAGAACATCATTAGTGTCCTTTTAGTATAAAGAACATCATTAAATATACATTTTTAAGATATCAATTAAATCACAGTTAGCTTGAATATGTGAAACTGAAGCATCAAATACTTTGAAACAGACCATGTAATTCAAATCATAGGCTAAATTAATTACATTTACTTTCAAGTCCATATCGAAAACTTTTCATTACATTTAGAAGATTCAATGCAGTCGCAGAAAGATTACAACTCTAATGATAGAGAGTATGTACTTACGTAATCAAAATGACACCAGTTTAACCACTGTGTGACCTATGAAGCTGATAAAGTAAGGAATTTTAAGCAGAGTAAGGTATATACTTCATTGTAAGTTGTCTGGAGTTTATTTTTCTATATCTATTACTAGCCCAATTTAGAACTATTGAAATATGATTACAAATTAACTGAACATGCAAAGCAGATAGAGAGGTGGAAAGTTGAAATCAAGAAGGAAAATTTACCTAATTCATATTTAATTGAAGTTAGGGTTATCTCTTTTTTATTAAATTCCAATAGCATTTTCTTGCAAACACTCGTTCAAATTTAGAAACAAAATCTAAGCTGATGCAGTTTGGTGAAAAGCCCTAATTCCAATAGCATTTTGCCAAGAAGGCGCAATCTGTTCCAATTAATAGTCCAGGTGAAAGTTAAATTCATCAACGCAAAAGAACCTATAAGTCCCATTCAGACGAAGCCCAAATAGCAATCAATAGCACAGCCAAAAAAAAAATTAAGCAAAGAAACACAATTTGAGATAACAACCATCACACCCAAAAAAACGGAGTAGATACATACATGGAAGAAACCAAAAGAGATGATGAGAGAAGCGGTGTAATCTGTCAATGGAGTTCCTACACCAGAATAACAGCCACCTGCAACTACATCGGGATTGATCAAAATAATCTTGCCTGAAGCAGCCATGTCCACCATCACCTATGACAGAGATTGTAGTGCTGCCGGGTTATTTAGGGTTTAAACAAAAAAGTAAAATGGTTTGATATAGCCTTATATTTAAAGCTGTCAAAAAGGGCCGACCCAAGCCTCATGGACCAAGGAATTTAAAGGGCTAGGGTGGATCATGTTCTTCATTTTGAAGGGCTTGAAAATGTTCAATTCAACCCAACACCAAAAGAGTCAAGGGTTGGGCGGGCTAGCTCTTCTTTTTTTTCTTTTCAAATTTATAATTCTAGAACATCAAGAAATGAGAAGATTTTAAAATTAAATATGGCAAACAAGGGGATTGTTTCAATAACACTAGCAAAAAAATCTAGTATAATTAGTATATATCTCGCATACCAGATACGCGAGCGAGATAAAAGAGTGACAAGCAAGATGGGAGGGAGGCGAGAGCGCGAAATTTTTCTATGTATCCTAGATACATGTGAATCTACTTGGATAGACTATATCTATAACAAATTAACCTAATTTTGAGTCCATATATTCTGAGATACATGTATCTGGACGAACCAAAATCTGGTAAGATTCATAATATTACAACATAACGTGTATTTAAGTAATTAGATTATATACTAGTGAGGTTATTGTAAATTACCCTTATATAAAAGGTTTTGGCCCATGGGCTGACCCCAACCAAGCCTGAAGGGCTTATATAGGTCGGGCTTATATAAGTCCTAGTTTTAAATGGGCTTGAAAAAATCTATCCCAACCCTACCCCAATAACGGGTTGGGTTGGGCCGGCCCCATAGGCTAAGCCCGTTTTGACGGCTTTACTTATATTTGTATGTTTGTATTGTGAGCCCTTCTATTTACCTGATATAGCCTTATACTTGTATGAGTTGTTATTGTGAACCCTTTTATTTACTCTTTTGTTATCTGAACTCATCAAACCTCAAAATTTTAGCGTGTTGCACAAACACTTATACGTTGGCTAAACAAACAAATCTTTTGATTCATGTAGGAATATTTCAATCACGTACTAAATGACTAGCATGAAACAAAGAAAACTCATTTTTCAAAGTTCATCTAGCTATGTCTACTTTTGCTTGCAAAGGGGGTAATTTTTTCCACTCTCTCACGAGCTCAATTCCATTGCAATTTCCCCCCTTTTCCCACGAGCTCAGTTCAAGGGCATTTTATCTTTGATATTCACTATAAATTTCTTAGTTTTTCAAGTTATGTTAGTTCGTATTTCTTTTTCTTTTTGTCTATTTGTATTTGTTTGATTTTAGGGTCAAGTGTCATTGAATTTTCTAAAAAAAAATTGGAGATTTTATTTTCATTTGTGCCTAATGATAGTGTAATATGCTTATGTAGTGGCTGTTATGACTTCAAGTGACTTCAATAGCATATTTCATAAATTTGAGTTGATTCTAAGATTTATTTGTAAAATTTCAATTTCACTGAAATTAATATTATTTTTCATCAATTGTTTTGGGTATTGATTTTGTTAGTGGTCCATTGTTATATATCAATTGTGCATAAGAATCTTGACACCTTGTTACCTTAAAAAAATAGGGCTTTTTGTTATTCTTATTTTTTAAATTAGAATATTTTCCAAGTACGAACAAATTCACTAATAATGTTGTTTTTCTTATCACTTTACAGGCATGGTAAGTAAATAATTGCAATAATAGTAACACTTCAAATTCATTATGGAGGTTGTTTTGTATCTGATCATGAGCTATGCTATGTCAATGGAATCATTGATCTTGAAAAGATTAATATAGATGTATATGAGTTGTATATTATGTTGCTTCATAAATTAACACTGGAATTGGATGCTAAAAATGTTGAAACATTTGGATGTGGAATCAACAAGAATGGTGACTATTACATGTTAAATATTGATTTTGATGTTTTAAAATTTTCTTAATAATTTGAATGATGCAGATTTTGTTGATGTATCAAATTAATTTACCTTTAGTTGTTAAGGAGCTACCCGTATTGCGTAATACTAATGATGATGTGTCCTCCCCACAAAAAGATAGTGTTGATGTGTCCTCCTCCCACAAAAAGATAGGGCTGGTGTGTCTTCATATCAACCATTTAATCAAAATGAAAATTGAGGTTTAAGTGAAGACCAGTTGCTTAGAGCTAAGAACCAGTCTCCTAGAGTAAATGTAGATCTTCATTCTGATTCTGAATCAATCTATGATGTTGATGAAATATTTATAATTTGAGTGATTTTAACGAGTTGCTTCAAGCTAGACAATCTAACATTCAAGAACAGGCTAAAGAGAAGGTTGACAGGCTAAATCAATATGAGAGACCATCAGGTCCTGTAGGTATAAATACTTGTTTTGAAGATATTTATAAGTGCAAGAGGGAAGATTTAGAGGCAAATTGGGTTGTGATGAATTGGAGACGTTGAGCTTGGAACCTTAGCTTTCTTCCTAGAACTTGAGAGAGATTAATTAATGTGAAAAAGTTTCCTTTTGTGTTCATTTATCTCTATGGCGAAAAAACAAGGTGGGTGTGATCTCCTTCTCTTCACATGTCTAAATCATTTTAACCTCACTTCTCTCATGTTATTCACTACGAAAGTGTTGTTGAAGACTGCAAATTAAAGACATTTTGGTACAGTTACATATTTTTAGTGTAAGACCACAAAATTAGAAAGTCTTTTTTACTTTTTAAAATCTTGGAACTCTAGCTTTCTTCCTAGAACTTGGAACAAGCTCTTAATATACCTTAGTAATTGAAGCCTAGCAAAACAAGAGAGAAGGGGAGACTTTGAACCCTAGCCTTCTTCCTAGAACTTGAGAGAGAATTGTAGGGGATGAACTTGGATGTGAATTGGGGATTTGAGAGAAAGAGTGAGTTGGGTAGTTTTAGGGGTTGAAAGGTAGTTATAGGTCTTAGAATTAGGGTCAAAATAACGTAGCATAGACATTAAATACATAGAAAAATACCCAAATACCCTTAAGAATTAGCAGACATAAGTGATCTATGATTGGGACCTAAGGTATGTAGACCTTTCGATGGCTCGTACTGGTCAACCGTAAAACCAACTTCAGAAACCCAAAAGTTCATCCACTTCCCACAGAACCATTCTATGATTTGTCTAATTTCCTACGGCTCGTGGAGCCAACTTATAAAACCCAATTTCAAGCAAGAAATTTACTAAGTCTAGAACCCTTCTACGGAACCCATATATGACCCATATGACTGACTACATCCCACCCTATCCATTTGTAGGTCCAACATCAGAGTCTCAATTACACAATAGTCATAGGATCATCTCTATACCTAAGTGAATCACATGTTCATATACAATCCTCATCAACATGTATAAACCCTAATAATTTGCCCTTCAAGGATATGAATCAAGATCAACCCTAACTTCTAGAATAAACACATTAGATAGAGGGATATCATGATTCAACAACTTAATCGATGTAAACATAATCAATTGTCAAGTTCCCATCATCAATTAAGCCATACATAGTTCACAATTTAGGAAGAAGGGGAAATCATGGGTCCAAGGGAGATTTTTATCATAAAACATCAATACTCCATTAATCCAACCATAATTCATCATAACCAACCATAATCAACCATAAATGAACAATTGAAAACATTTTGGAAGGAGACCCATGTTATAGATTGAAAACCCTGGATTTGGGGGATTTGAAATCTTAAAAACATAGTTTGATGGGTCTCCTTGGGTGATAGCTACCCAAGGATGAAAATCATCCATACCTTGACTAAGAAACTTCAAGAAATTTGGGGAAGAACCTTTGGAATCCACAAACCCTAGCTTCAATGGCTCATTTCTTCTTTATTATGTTTAGAGAGAGAAATATTGAGAGATGAGGGAATTTTTTTATTTGATTTGGGTGTTTGTGAATAATGACTTAGTCTTGTGAAATTTGACTTAAAAACAACTTATATAGCAACCCTACAAATACCCAAAACACCCCCACTTTAATTGGACTAAAAAGGAAATGTCGTGCTGTGGACCACGACCCGTGGTCCTTCTCGTGAAGGTTGGGGCAGTAGCTACATTTAGGTGGCATGAGGATCACGAGTCCAAGGCATTTCCATGAGGAACTCCACGAGCCATGGTCTCTCTCGTGGTCCTTGAGATAGTGGCCTGCCACTTGGGACCATTTGCTCCATGCCTAAGGCAACTCCACGAGGCCTCCCACGAGCCGTGGTGATAGCCGTGGAAGTTGAGGCAGTAGCTAGGATTTTAGGGTGGCCATTTTTCATGGCCAAGTAATCTGCACGAGCCCCCTTCACGAGCAGTGGTGAGGACCACGGTCTGTGGTCCCCCTCGTGAAGGGTGAGGCAGTGTGCCTTGGCTAGGGGCAACCTTGGCCTTTGGCTTTTGGTTTGGCCCATTTTCCTTGGCACTTGCCTCTTGTCTTTGAACCTTCTAAACCCCATTTCATGACGTTCACCCTCACGTTTAGGCTCTAGTTTAACCTACCATTTTCCGGGTGTTAGATTATCTCCCCCTTGGGAACAGTCATCCTCGAATGACGATTTAGATACCTTACGGAGTTAAAGACTCAAGACTAGCAGCCCATCATGCATGACACATCAATAAATTGCACAAATCATAGGAGGAAACATCAACTCCATTCTCAATTCATAAACAATGTAACACAAGGAAGTAGGAACTACATCTACAACTCATTATGCACAAAATTCACCACTTCATATAAACATGGGGGGAACTACCTTCTCCAATCTCAAAGCAAGCTCAACACAACAATACGGAGCCAACGTGTCATTTCTCAAAATCATAACTAAGCATGTTTATCCATTCACCTCCTAAAGTCAAATATGCAATCATCATACTAAAATGCAAATCAATAAGAGGAACATATAAATCATGAAAACTCAATTTATGCTAAACATGAGTTCTCACAAGAACATGCATATCATAAGGAAATCATAAAGAACACTTATAGCACATATGACTTCCAAAACACCAACTCAAGAAAACTACTTACCTCAAGTTTGGATAATAGTAGAAGGAAAAAAATGAGGATAGCGGGACTTCATATTTGCCTTGGCCTCCCA